GAGTAGTTGCAACAAGATTTTGCATCTGCATAGGCTTTATTTTCTCATTCTGTGCTGCCTTTGTATTTTAATTTTTGGTGATGACAGGGTAGGCTAAGCACACTTATATCAAAGAACCTCAATTCCAGCACAGTAATTTTTAAATCTGCATGAATGTGAGAATGTCTAAGGAAGCTAATAAAAATAGAGCCTGTCCTAGGATGTTGCACAGAAGCCACTGGTAGAAAGCAAAGGTGCCTCTTGGGGTATTAAGTTGTGTAGAGCCAGAGAAGCAGTACTCAGCTATGATGTGATATGCCCCACACTGAGGTCACAAGCAGTGGGAGCCAGCTGGTCATTATAAATTAACTTATAAAGTCACATCCAAATATATATATATATATATAAATCTCCACTGCCAAGGATGTCATGACTACTCTCTGGGTTTTAAGGATACCTATTACACATGTTCTTATAATCAACAGATCCTCAGTTTATATATTCAAAACTGGAATTCTGGGCTCCCTATTCAAATATGTTCCCTCCCAAGTGGTCTCCATCTCCTTTGATATGTCTATACCTACCTGGGCTCAGATAAGACAATGGAGTTATTTGTTTTTTGTTCCTTCCTTTCTCTGGACTGATATCTGGTCCATAACTTCTGATGCCAACAGTTCTTACCTTCTCTCGTGCTCCAAATTAGCCTACAAATGCCCAGCTTGGCTCAATAACTAAAGCAACGTCTTAGCCAGTCTTGCTTCCAGAAAAGTCATGACATGGTGGCTCAAAGCATGAACCACGCTACTGTTGTGCATCCCCAACATGCCCCTTTATAGCCAAATGACTTGAGGGAAGGGACACCGTAGGAATAACATGGATGCTGCCATCTTGAATCACTACCACCATGACTGTGTCAGGTTAACCCAGTTGGGTTTTCCTGTATAGTTAACCGAGGATGCTACAAATAGAAACATTTTAATTGCATTTAGAACTTTCTAACTAAGCCCTGGCACCAGGAGTGTGCCTGATTCCTAGCTTAAGATAAGCCAGGTACAATTTGGCTTTGATGAAGTCACTTTTATCTTAATTGGTCTTGCTGCCACCCAGGATCACGCTTCTGTAAGTTCTCCAATTTATTGCACCCTCCAATCCTGGATCTGTTGGCCTCACCTCTTTCTCTGGTCTCAGGACACCTTGGAGCCAGTTCTCATACACTAGGACTGAATTGTCCTAGAATATGCACCTTCTGCCCCCATTCTATCATAGCCTTCCAAACACTGCAGGTACCCTCCGTTTCCAGGGCCTTTGTACTTGTTAATTCCCTCTTACTAAAGACTTTTTCTCTGTTTTTCTCAGAGCTGGATTTTTTTCAATGAACTTGAGGAACTTTCTAAATGAGTGCTTTCTTAATCCCTCTATCCAAATTTATAATTCACCTGTCAACAGTCAAAATCCCCTTTTCTCGCTTTATTTTACTTCAGGGGACCTGCTGCCCTATGTTGCACTGCACATATGACTCACTGACTATGCTAATGTCTGGTTCCCCACCCAAAAATGTGCACTCCACAGTGCTGGGATGTTATTATGCTTCACTCCCAGCTGTATTTATAGCAGTACCTGGTTGTCAAATGTTATTAGACACTTTATTGCAACTCCTCAGTATTGTATCTTTTCAAAGATGTTTCTTCTGGTCACCCTGGGGAAGGAAATGATATTCTCAACACATAATTTTCAAGTCCTTGACCCTGGGTATGAATTGACCAGAGTATTAGCAAGCTGATTTTGCATTTTCTCTCCCATAGGCAGAGGTCCTTTATTAAATTTATGGCAAGAACACTAAGCTTATATTAGTTATATCACTATGTCACATATTAGCCCAAGTTAACCGATATCAAAAACTGAGCATCTACTTTTTTTTTTTTTTCATGTCTTACCATTTAGACTATAAGTACCTCTGCTTTCTGGAAGATGTTGTTAAGTTTCAGTCTTAGAAGGGTAACAGCAATTACAAAGAATAAAATCAAGTTAGTATCATTCCATATGATTAAGCATTAAAACAAAATGCCTTTGAACCAGTGGTATATCCAAAGGGACTTTATATATTTGTACAACTATCTTGTCATGGCCTGAACCACATGTTCACCTATGATGATTAAAACACTTTCTGTTCACTACAATCAAACTGTGGACAGTCAAAAAATCAATTTCCAAGTCTTCCCTGTGACAGCAAATGTCTTTCTTTATAAAGGTGACCTACCTTAGCCTTACCAAGTCTGCTGTGTTAGTCATCTTTCTGTCACCACAACAAAACACCTGAGATAATTAACGTATAAAGAGTAAGGCCCACTTGGGCTCACAGTTTAGGGGTTTCCAGTTTAACATCAGGAGAACCCCATGCTTTGGGTCCCTGGTGGGTGTGCCAGATGGCAATGCTGTGGAGTGCCTGGAAGAGCACATTGCTGTCATCAAGCTAGGAATCAAAAGAGGAAGAAGAAGAGACAAAAGTCCCACAAGCTTCTTCAAGAGTACGTCTCCAGAGACATGAAGATCTTCTCTAAGGACCACTTCCGTAATGTTCTTCCAACTCCCAATTGTGCCAGTATGGAAACCAAGCCTTCCATACATAGTCCCTTGGGGACATTCAAGACCCAAACTGTAGCGCCTGTTAACAGTTTGTTAGCAAAGCAGATACAGACACCAAAACCTTACTGATCATGGAATGTCCTTGGGATTTTCTATACTTTTCTATGGATCTTGGGTTTTTTTCAATAGATGGATCTTGGGATTTTTCAATAGATATGGATCCTGTGAACAGGGTTAACACAAAATTATGAAAATCTTTAGCATGCCCTAGACATCAGTGATAATTAAACTCCTAACTAATAAAAGAGAAATGTATAATTGGGATGCCACTATCTTTTAAAAACTTATTTGTTCCTGCCTGATCCGCAGTAATGAAAGCAAAACAATTAAGACCCTGAATAACTTGAAAGCCTGGTATCATCTCTGGCACTGACAATATCTAGGAAGATCTCCTTGGCTGTTTTCCCACATATTTTATTGATCACTCATCTTTTGGCAAAATTAAGCCAGTGCATTTCTCTCTGCAATCACACTGCAATGTTTCTGTCAGTATTGATGATAAAATGCTTGCCCCAAATTCTAAAACAGCTAAAGGCACATTCATAGCAATGCCTTGAGAGCTCTCACACTTGACTGGTACACACTCAAAAAGGAATATATATATATATATATATTTCATCTTAATGCTAATTGCATTGTATGATTAGTCACTGCCAAAATGTTCAGACTTTGTTTTACCCATGAAGAGGTAGTAGGTATAAAAACTACATCAGGATTTTTTAAGCTATTTGAAACCTTCATAAATTAACCCATGGATAATTCCTTCCTTGTGGAAGTTACAACTTTATCAAGAAAGTATATAGTAGTAATAACAGGGATACCAAATTATAGCTAAGTCATAATTACCTTAGTATCATCTAGAGTTGATTTTTTTCTGAACATTATTTCAGATGTGTAGGGTCAAGTTATGCAGAGATTGAAGTACCTGTTTCTATACCATTAGGGTAATACAGAAACAGTTCTCCAAAGGAGGGCTGCCCCTTTTGGTTGGTGAAATGATGTTGAGGAGGAAAGCTTATGCACAGACACAGTTACAAAGGAATGGACAGTGCTGTATGTTCAGAGAGGCCATGGCTCACACCAATTAAGTTAGGGTAGTTATCATCCACTAGACTTGATTTTTTGAGCTCCTATACTTGCAGGAGCATATGTCACATAGAAAGAGTCAAGGATTTATGTACAATATGTATTTATTGTTATCTACCACAATTATTTTAAAACTGATTTTCTAGGTAAAGAAGGTATTCCTTACACATTGTTGCATATGAATACATGGTTACATGAAGTATGTATGTTTAGAAACATCATTTTTTTCCAGAAAAATTCATGTGATTATGTGGATCTAAAAAAAGCACTCTTTTTTTATATTTATTTTTCAGTTTTTGGTGGACACAACATCTTTATCTTATTTTATGTGGTGCTGAGGATCAAACCCAGCGCCCCGTGCATGCCAATCGCATTACCGCTTGAGCCACATCCCCAGCCCCTAAACAAGGCACCTTAAAAGTACAGAGTAGAATGGTGGTTTCTGGGGATGGGCAAGAGGGAAATAGAGATATGTTCGTCAAAGAGTGCAAAGTTTCAGATATGAAGGATGAATAAGCCTGGATAATGTAATGTACAGTGTGATTATAACCACACTGTACTCATTATTTACTAAGACAGTAGATCTCAAATGTCTCACCAAAGAAGAGAAAAAAAAGAAAGAACTATAAATGGCATAGGTGATGACTATGCTAACTGGCTTAATGAAGGCAAGCATTTCAACATGTATACATATTTCAAAACATCTGGTTGTATACTTTAAATATATATATATATATATATATATATATATATATATATATATATATATATATATATTTGTCAATTATACCTCAATAAATCCAGGATAAAAATATATATTTTAGAAAGATTCAAAGACAGCAAAGAGCACTTTTTCATAAATTTAGAAAGAGAATAGTGGACTGGGAATGAAGCTCAGCTGTAAAGCATTTGCCTAGCAGGTGTGAGGCCACAAGCTCCATCTACATCACCATGAAAAAAGAGAGTGAACATTCTCTGAAGTTTTTGACATTTATGGATGTAAAAAAAAAATCATCCTTTTGCTTTAGACTAAAAAGCAAAAGACTTAGTGGTAATTATTTCACAAGGAAAGAACATTTCCAGAAAATAATGACACAACTCTTAATCACCACCTTTTAACTGCTTTATAACATTTTTTAACACTTTTTGGCCATCACATTACAATCACAATGCACATCTAAATAAGCATGTCAACTTAAATAAGCAAGTTAAATGCTTGACTTTCTTCATTTTGGTTTTGTACACAGCAAACACACATAGGAATTTAACTATTACAGAAAAGCTTAACATACCTGTCATGTTCCAGTACACAAGAGCTGGTCCCAGAGGGCCACTTCCATCTGAGTCTATGAAGTAGAAGCCTGAAGAGTTTCCTCTGTGCTTGTAAGCTTCACATGATCACTCATACAGAGCTGCAAAGAAGATACAGTATCACAGAGGGGCTGTGAGGGAATGGGCTCCTCTCTGCTGCTCATGGCATGGGACTTTTCTCCCATGACATTCATCCTGCCATTGCCTTTGGTCACATCTTCTCTAGGAGGGTGTTCTTCCATCTCAATCAGGCAGCAGAAAGATTCAGAAGCACAGAGTGAAAGATTTGGAGATACTACTGTGAATCAGAATCCTACACATTCTTATTTTCAAAATCAAGCAAACCAGACTTCTCGTCTAGTACAAGTTCTACCTCATAATATTTTTAAGCATCTCAAGTACACCTGCCTAAATGTTGTTATTATCTAATAATCATTGATTTTTTTTTTTAAAAAAAACTTTACTCAGTAATTACATCTTTTGTTCACTTAAAACAATTCATATTTAAAACACATTTTTCCAATGAGTTGAATTTTACATATCAGCAACTTTTAATGCCATTTTAAATTCATTCCAAAAAGACACTTCCTTAAATGCTTTGCAAATTGAAATTTAAAAAATCAAAATATTGACATGACTTTTTAAAAATTTTGCTTTATTCTAATTCATGACTGACTTCTTAATTTGTACACAAATGCTTTGCTATGTACAAGGCAAGAGATTAAAATCTGCAGATGGTGAACCTAATTGATATTTAGCAATTTTTAATGAGTAGTCAACCTAGTGTGGGTCACACATTGCCTTGTCAGGAAACCCTTTGGAAAACCTCAAATGCAGGTTACAACTGCTAGGAAAGAAATGCAAAAGCATCAGACGAAGTGTCCACAAAGACAGACTTGGGCAGTGGTTCAGCAAGGGACACAAGACAAGACATACTAATAGGATATAAACTTAGGCCTTTCCACAGCGATGGCCCTTTCTCTCTCTCTCTCTACACACACACACACACACACACACACACACATGTGTTTATATATATTATGTGTGTATATTTTATATATGTACTGATATATAACCTATATACATTATGTAACACACATGCACACACATATATATATATATATATATATATATATATATATATATATATATATATATATATATATATATTCCCCCCATTTCAAATAGTTAAGAATGACCCAGGGAGGAGAATAAAAGTTATTTTTCTCTCATCTCACAGAATAAAAAGTACAGAGTAGGGACGAAGAGCATGAGAAGACGATTAACATTAAACAGGGATGAGAGGTAGGAGGGAAAGGGAGAGAGAAGGGAAATTGCATGGAAATGGAAGGAGACCCTCAGGGTTATACAAAATTACATACAAGAGGAAGTGAGGGGAAAGGGAAAAATAATACAAGGGGGAGAAATGAATGACAGTAGAGGGGTAGAGAGAGAAGAGGGGAGGGGAGGGGAGGGGAGGGGGGATAGTAGAGGATAGGAAAGGCAGCAGAATACAACAGACACTAGTATGGCAACATGTAAATCAATGGATATGTAAATGATGTGATTCTGCAATCTGTATACGGGGTAAAAATGGGAGTTCATAACCCACTTGAATCAAAGTGTGAAATATGATATATCAAGAACTATGTAATGTTTTGAACAACCAACAATAAAAAATAAAATAAAAATAAAATAAAAAGCAAAAGAAATGTCTGCTTAGTTCAAGGATACTATAAAAGAAAATGTTCTTTGTTAAATATGGTCAAGGGTCTAAATCAGAGGCCACCAAATCAAGAGTCCAACTATTACCATCTCCAACTGATGGAAATATAAACAATATAAATTGTTTTCTCAACATTCTTGGCTTTGGGCCACTAATATTCACGTTTCCATAAATAAACAAACATGCCAATAACCACCTAGGAACACAGCTCACAGTGATACATACACATATCAAATTGCCTAGAAGAACAAAAAAGAGGAAGAATAATTAGGAAACAAAATAATATAAACGGGAATGTAAATATGCAATAATTTTAAACTTAGAACCCCCATCCCTGTCCTCTATCCCACATAAAAATAGTGGCTTTATGATCACTTGGTTTTGATTTGGCAATATCCAACTTTCTTTTGATATATCCTTAGAGAATCACAATAAAATCAATTCATTAACAAACTAAATCATGTGCCACAGGGAGAAGACCCTTTACATTTATCAATAAAGTTTCTCTTCTCAGTGTTACTTAGAATTATGTTTAGATCTCAGCTACTGATAACAAACACATTTAGTTGGTATCTGCTTTGTCTAAGACACTTTTCTAATGTGATGAGGGAGCTGTAAGTAAAAGAGACCATCTCAGTGTTAACTCTGTGACTGTGACCAAATCCCTAGCCCAAGGTTAGATGTCTAACTCCTTTCAAAGGAGACATTCCTTAGCAAATTCTTACCTACCAATGTAAAACTCAGTGAAGATGCGAGTGGAACTGATCACTGGATATAGAGGGGGGAGGAGTCATCTTCTTTTGCTTCTCTGTGGAAATCCCACATCTGGAGACCCAGGGGTCTCATTCCAAATCCACACTAGTTCCCTGAGATTCAGTTCCTGCAAAGTTAGATTTATGACAATCCATTCTCTGCATTATGCACCTCATAGTTTGTACCGGAATAAAATTAATTCACAAGGAATAGTTGTTTTTTTTCTTATCCCCACTCAGTCCTGGGTATTAAATCCAGGGCCTTGCACATTCTAGGAAAGTGTTCTACCACTATGCTATATCCCCAGTCCTTTGTAGTCTTTATTTTGAGACAGGATCTCAGTAGGTTGCTGAGAGTCTTGTTAAGTTGCCAAGGCTGGCCTTGGACTGGCAATGTTCCTGCATCAGCTTTACACATGTGTACACTACTGCACCAGGACCATGGAAGGGTTTTTTTTTAATGATACAATGCTAGTATCCCCCTATCAGGAGGGACTGAAGGAAGCAGACATGAAATGTCATACTCCTCCTCTAAAGACCAAGGGAGAGGGGAAGTACTATGGAGACAGGACCCCAAGTATCAGGAGTGACACACAAATTAAAACACCAACCAACCAACCAGCAAACAAACAAATCTAAAACAAATAGAAGCAAAAGCTAATAATTAGAAAAACATGAGTATTTCATGGGCTCTGTCATATGCTTCTAGAAACTAATGATTAGTGGTCAATAAGATTTTATTAGCTTGAAAACTAAGTAAGCTGTAAGTAAAAGGGACCATCTCAGTGTTAACTCTGTGACTGTGACCAAATAATCTGTGTTTATATCTGTGTGACAGAGAATAATTCTTGAGGAAGGAGATGAGTGGTATTTGACAGTCCTGGCTCCAGTCTTAGAGCTATAAGTCTGCTGTCAATCTCCTCAGCCTCCTTCCTCCCCCAAGTGCTAAGTGTAGGTGATAATAACTCTTATCTCCTATGGTTGTTTTGAGTATTCAAGGAATAAAAACATGCAGAGGACTAAAACTGTGCATGCATTTGATAAATTCTGCAGATATTAATTCTTTCCATCTCCTTCACTATCAAACAACAGCAAGACTGGGTGGGACCTGAAAGTTTACTATTTTCTCTTCATTTTCTAGAACTACTGCCACATTTACTCCTCGTCTGGTACTTCTGAGGTGTTCCTCATTCAATTTTATATTGACATCCTGGCCACACATTTTCTTTAGAAGACAAGAAAGAACTGAGAACTGAGAAGTATATGTGTACCCAGATCAAGGAACAGAACAAGATATCACATTGTTTGTTTTTCATTTTTCTTTTTCTTTTTCTTTGTTCCAGAGATTTAATGCAGGGGCACTCAACCACTGAGCCACATACCCAGCTTTATTTTGTTTTTTATTTAGAGACAGGGTCTCACTAAGTTGCTTAGCACCTTGCTGTTGATGAGGATGGCTTTGAACTCACAATCCTCCTATTTCTGCTCCTGAGCCACTGGGATTATAGGCATGTCCCACCACACCCAGCTCACATTGTGTGTTCTGGGTGCAGTTTATTTATTTTTAACCTCCTGCTATATTTTATTTTACTACACTTATTTTCCCTTTGCTGATTCTTTTCCTTTTTGCTCTCTGTGTTCTTCTATTTGATACTATGAATTTTTAAAGCTACTTTGACATCAATGGGAAATAAAATTGATCAAAAATAAAGCAGCTAAAAACAAGTCTGTAAAAGACTATTGCTTCCTGTTTTCTGGTACATGGGTGCATGGACACAAACACATATGCACAAAAGGATGAATGGGATATAAGAACAGAAAGGAGAGCCAGTGGGTTGTGTGGCTTACAGGAATGGCAGGTGGCTCCCACATAGCCAGTGTGAGTGCAGTCGCAGGAGAAGGTGTCCCAGGACTGGGAACATTCACCCCCGTGTTCACAATAGCTGGGCAAACACCTAAAGAAGGACAGACAGACACACTGCTGTTTCCCACATTCAGTCATAATAAAATGTGCATGTACAGGGAAAGATGAAGGACAATAGTCAACGGAAACCTTTCAACAGGACCAAAGACTGGAGTTTGTCCTCAAGGTCACTTGACACAACCACAAGTTCGTAAGTGCAGTAGATTCTCATGCATTTGTGACAGATACATTTTCAACACTTTGTTTTTTTTATCAGAAAAACTGTTTGCTTCTTACAAAAACATAAGATTGATTTCATACATAATCAGGATATAAATTGCTTGCAACAACCATAGACAGACACACATTTTCCCACACCCTTGTGATGTGACACTGCAGATCTTTCCATCCATGGCATAGCCTGCATCTCTACCTTGAATGTAAGTTGGGCATGTGATCAAATTTAACCAAACAGACATTTTAACAACACAATATTTAGTAATTTAATGCAAAAAGAACAGGTTTCTTTTGTAAATCTCAAATATACTTCTGGTATGTATACAACAAAGTTTTTTGCCTAAAAGCACAACAATCTGATACATGTGTTATTTTCTAACTTGCCTGCATTTCCCCAAAGGTCCATTGGCTTTAATTCTTTATATCCATCATGATTTTTATGTATACAAATTTGCATAGATAAATACAGCCTTGTTCACAAATCTGAAGCAGTTTATAAGATCATGATTTATTCTTATTCCCTCTTCACTCCAGTTCATTGTTCAAATTGTTTCCACACAACTGCTAGTAAATAGACTGAAATTCATCACATCATGATATTTAGGAAAAACAGAAAACTAAAACATTGAACAACCATCTTTAGAAAGATACAAAGTCAAGAAATTTCCCCTCTTGACCCTACACACAAAAATATAAAGGGTGAGAGTCCCAAAGCAGGACTAAATTAAGCAAAAAACTGATAAGATCCTAAAACTGTTATTAGGAATGAGAGATTCACAGCAATAGTAAAATGTTTGCTTATGAAAAGACAATATAGGGCTGGACAGGGATGTAGTTAAGTGGTAGAGAACTTGCATAACATGCACAAGACCTGAATTCAATCCCCAATACATTAAAAATATAATAATAAGGGCTGGGGTTGTGGCTCAGTGGAAGAGCACTTGCCTACCATGTGTGAGGCACTGGGTTCGATTCTCAGCACCACATAAAAATAAATAAAGGCCTACCAACAACTAATAAAATATTTTAAAAATAATAATAATAACAACACAGTAAAGTATGAGCACTTGGAAGTGAACAGAAAAGCAGGTAGCTCCTATTCTGTCCCAATGTTCTCTGTTGCTCCAGGGACCAATTTGCAAATTAAAAAAATGCAAAAAAAAAAAAAAGTAAAATAAACACCATCAAGTGGAAAGTAGAAAACCCAAAAGATAAAAGGCATAGCTGTCTATTTTACTTTCTTTCCCCCTCTAACACTGCACAAATTATACTTCCAGATGCTGAAATTCTTATAGATGTCACCAAGCATTATCTTCTAATCTTTGGTTTTCCTTGAAAAAAAAGGGAAAATCTTCAATGTCAATAAAAATAGGAAACAGGCAAATTTGTTTTTACTTTAAGAAAGAAATATGTATTTGATTTTGAGAGTCTACTGGGATAATGCTTATTTGTAAATTCTGACAGTGTTCAAAACAGATTGTTAATCTTAAAGTGATCAATGTTGAGAATACACTGATAATCAGTTTATACCAGTGAAGGTCACATTTATATTATGAGATTCATACAAAAGCCTGTTCAGCTTACTTTACAGAGTGAATGCTGAAGATGGGATACCCATACCTTGAAAGTCAGCAGGTCAATTACATAGCAGTGGAAGGAAACAGAACAAAATATAGCAGAGATACCAAAAGCCAGACATTTCATACCAAACATTAAAAAACCTGAACTAGTTCTAGTCTGGTTTAGCTGTTCTCTATAGTTCTGACATTATTCCTTCTATATGGATTATACAAGTAGTATCAATGCCAAGCCCAGGATGTTAACTAGAGAGTTACAGCTTCGGGCAGGAGCTCTGGTCTCCATATCCCTCAGCTCTAGCTTTGCAACACTTATGTGCTTCCTGAGATGGCAGACCCACAGTAGAACCAGCAAGGTGCTGCTAGCCAGGATGGTGGAGTGGCCATTCTTCATAGCATAGATGTGGTAAGTGGTGGTGAACTTCCCAGACCTGGCATGACAATTCCTTTTCAGCCCCAGTGTTGGGAGCTTGTAAGGGGGAGGCTGAGGGCATCCTGTATCTGAGGCCTGGTCTTTATGGGTCTCCCCTGAGGAACAGAGTGCCTCACTCTAATACCACCATCCTGACCTTTTATGGCTGGTCAGAAATATCCCTGAGCAGGACTCTGAAAATGGTGGATGAGGAAGAAGGTTGAAGGAGTGAACTCCCTTGTCTATAATGTGAAGGACAAGACTGTGACTCTGAAGAATGGTTTCCAGGTCCAGGTGAGGCCCATAACTCATTTCCTCATGGAGTTTAAACTATGAGCACAGAACACAAAAGCCTCAACTGTTTGCAAAAGTTACAAAACTGCCAATTCTCCTCTTGGGCTTGATGTCTGCTTCTTCCAAGGAGTAGAAGGAGTAGAAACTTTGGGATACCTCTGTCAAAGTTAATCCTGCTTTGTCATTTGGGACACTGACACTAGAATGAAACCCAATTTCTTATAAGAGGACACATATGAACACTGACAAGAGGCCTTCCAGATTTCAAGGGAAAGAAGCCAGATTCAGTGTTAAGGGTTGGAAGGTACACTTCACAGGAGAAAACAGTGATGTCTCTTCATACCCAGGGCTGGGGGGGCAGACCAACCTGCTTACCTCTACCACCAACACCAGGCCCTCTGAAGCTCTTACTTCAGTGGCTGCAGTTAATGGCGTCCTCCAGGCCTGAGGGCTTCTCCCATAACCCCAGTCCCTACATTCCTGGCTAGATCATGAGTCCACAGAGAGGACCAGATACCAGATACAATGAGAAAAATCCAACATGTCAGTGTACCCCACCACATTGGGTGTGTGCCTATGTGAGAGCCTGAACATGCATATGCTGGAATGTTAGTGTGCCCAAGTTATATGTGCCTGTGTGCCGATTGTAAGAGTATACCAGTGTGTGTAAGTGTGCTTGAGTGTGTGCCTGTGTGTGCCCTTGTGTGAATGTACCTGCACATGAGTATGCATAAATACATCTGTGAGAGTGTGTAGGTACATCTATGAGTATCTTATCTAACTTGAATATAGTTCACTGCCAAAGATCTGGGGTTCATGGGGAGCCATGTGCTCAGCACCCTGCCACTGTTTACACAGCAGTGAGGAAATATCAGTCTGCTCCAAGAACAGTCAGAGTCCATGAGAAGGTACCTCATGGCTCCTCCAAACACTGCAAGGGCCTAAACATGTATAGATTCCAAGAAGATGTCAACCAGAGTTGATGTAGAAAAGGGGAACAAGGATTCAGATACCTCTTTATACTTTCATGTTTCAAAAATTGTTAGGAGACCAGGGTTTTTAGCCTGGTGGAGAGCTGATTCTGGCAGTCAGTTAAATTATCCAGCATATATTTACAGGACTTGAAGTGGGAGACGGTGTATAGATTTGCTCATAGCAGCTACTATGGTTGGAACATGTCCCCCAAAAGTTCATGGGTTGGAAACTTTATCCTCAAATTTACATGTTGGCTACAGTTAGAGTAGCTGGAGGTGAGGCTTTGGGAGGTAATTACAGTTAGACAATGTCCTTAGGGTGGGTCCACCATGATGGCATTAATGGCTTTATAAGAAGAGGAAGAGAGACCAGAGGTGAAACACTTGCTGTCTCACCATGTGCTGATGCAGCAAGAAGTCCCTCACTAGATGCAACTGTCCCATCTTGGACATCCAAGCCTCCAGAACAGTGAGCTAAATAAACCTCTATTCTTTTATTTTATTTATTTATTTTTAAATTTTGATACAGGGTCTTGCTAAATTGCTTGGGCTTTGCTAAGTTGTGGAGGCTGACCTTGAACTTGTGATCCTCCTGCCTCAGCCTCCTGAGTCACTGGAATTACAGGTATGTACCACCACACTCAGCTAAACCCCTATTTTTTTTGTAAAACACCCATGCTGTGGTATTCAGTTCTAACAACAGAAAATTCTAAGAAGAAAAGACACTCATAATTAAGAGGAAAAATTCAGTTCACCACCAATGAGCCATTTCGTGAATAGGCAGAGAGAGGTCTTGTTTGCAAATGACTGGGTAGAAGCAGGATCATCTTCTCTCAAATGATAAGCTAAAAAATACATCTATGCTTTTAGGTGAAAACTCCTGTAGGTGACACGTCTCAGTCTCTTCTCAACTTTAAGGTTGTTTGCTTCTGTAGTCCTCCCACTATATCAAGATTTAATAGCTGAACCTCTGGGTCCTGCCCCTCCAAATATCCTGCTTCTCCCACATCATCATTCTACTGAATGACACTAGCCTTTAACCAGCTCTCTACGTGGGATTAGCCTTGACTGTTCCCTTGCCATTACCCCAAAGGCTTGCAGCAAGTCAACCTGTGATTCTGCTCTCCAAAGAGTTTGTAAATCATTCATATTTTCTGGTTCCTTAGTTTATCTTATCCTTATTTTTCAGTTGAGAGAAATTGCAGAAGCTTCTTACCAGGTTTCCTGGCCTCCAATCATACACTGTCTCTCTGTTTTCTGCACCCAGGTCATGTGTCAAGACTCTGTGCTCAGAGTCTTGCTTATACACACACACACAAGTGACTTCTTAACTTCAAGTCCTTTAGCAATTTCCCAGGGCATCTCAGATGAATATTTAAGCCTTCAAGTTAGCACCCAGGCCTCTAGCCTGATGTATCCCATGACTGGAGAGGCAGCCCCATCTCCAACACCCACTGATCTCCTCAACGCAGAACTTCTACACCAGCCATCCACACGGGGGTCAGACTCCCCCTAGCACTGGGGACTTGGACAAGGCTGTTACTTCTACTGCCTGCCTCCAACTGAATTGACTTACCCACCTTCTGCCCCATTCAGGCATCTCTTCCTTTTCCTTGAACAGCATGTCTTGACCCAACAGAAATGAGACAGCTCTCCACATAGTGCCAGAGAACCTCCCACTCCCCACCAACTTTCATTTCATCCTATTTACTACAGAATGGATTGGCATAATTTTCTATAAAGGGAAAAATACTAAATATTGTAGGCCTGTAGGCCACATAGTCTCTGCCAAAACCACACAGCTCTGCAATTATTAGGAGAAAGTGAATATAGACATTATGCAAATGAACTGGTATGGCTGTGTCTCAATTGAACATTATTAACAAAAGCAAGCAGCAGTCCCTGGACCCTGGTATGTCAATTCCTAAGCTGTATCAAGGCACAGCTTCTTCAGGGTGCTGGTAGCTCAAACATTGCACTTCAGAACCCATGGGGGTGGCCTGACTAGGGCAGAGTCAGGCCCCTTTACCATCAATTTGAAAAAACAAAACAGTTCATTGTTTTCCTTTCTGGTATTTTCAAACTCTGTACATTCCACACTTTTTAATATTTTGAAAATTATTGTTAAAGGAATAAATAATATTATATTTTACCTTAAAGTGTTCTGGAACACAATTTTTTAAAAACTAATAAAGAACTCTAAGTTTGTAGTAATTTTCAATTTTTTGTTTAAAAATAAAATGTACAATATGTGCCATTGGAGTTGGCATGGAGAAGATGAATACTCAGCCTGAGACCATGCAGATGGGAAGAGGTGGCAATGATGGTCCCACCGACAGATAAGAAAAAACACTGTGACCAGAGTTAGAGGAAATTGAAATCCTAATATCCAAAACACAATTGGTATAATATATAATTTCCCATTTCCACTACTATCATCCTTGAAGCCTATTATGGTTCAAATATGGAATGTCCCCAAAATCTCATGTATAGGAAGCATGGTCCCTAATACAGCAAGGTTCAGAGGTGGGGCTTTTAGGCAATGATTAGGGCTCTGCTCTCATCACTGGATTAACCCACTGATATCTGAATGGACTGAATGGAGTGAGACCTAGCTGGAGGAAGTAGGTCACTGGGAACATGACCTTGCACAATATCTATCCTGGGACTCTTCCCTTCTCTCTCCCTCTGTCTCAGCATGTGCTCAGCAGCTTTCTTCTGCCCTGATCTTCCACCGTGATGCTCTGCCTTACCTCAGGGTCAGAGCAACAGAGCTGGCCAACCATGGACCAAGATCTCTAATATCATGAGCACAAATAAATTTTTCTTCCTCTTTGTGGGTAGGAAAGCTAACACAAAGTTAACACACTTGCATGCCAAAGCAAGTGGCCATTTTCCCCATAAAGCATCTCTTGGAACAACCAGAAGACAGATCACTCCATGTAGATGCATCCTGATTTGGCTCAGGAAGGGAAATTACATTCCTGTCAGATTACAAACATCTTTTCATAATCTTTTTGTCATTTGAGCCAGGAATAGTCTATATATCAGTAATTATTAATTCCTTTGCCAGATGGATATGTTATAAAATCCCCTGATTATTATGACTGTATTTGAGCAAATATGAATGTTCTTGGCAGGCAGAGAAGTGGTCTGGGTAGATGTTTTGGTGCAGTGCAGAGGGCTGGTGAAAGCCTGGGGTTGGGGATGTTTGTTTTGTCCTGTTTTGAAATGAATCTATTTTTATGGTGTATTGGACATGTAGTTAATAGGTATGGCCTAAAGAATAAGAGAAAAACCAATGTTTTTCTTATTAGAATGAGGGCATATTTTTAGACATTAAACCATCAGAACCATAAAAACTTACAATTAGTGACAATATTACCATACAAAGTACTCTTGGCTATTTTCATAACAACTTAGTAGCCATTAACTCACTTTTTACTTAAGGAAGATTCTCTAATATTCTAGAAATCTCTAAGGAAAGGTACATACATACTTATACACTTCTAAGGACTTTTAAGTGTGATATGGAAAAATATTCTCATTTTGGTGACATTTATACATATGCTCATGTATACTCATAAATAAATAAATATATATATATATATATATATAATATCAGGTATTAAACCCAGGAATGCTTAACCATTGAGCCACATCCCCAGCCCCAACTTTTAATTTTTTTTTTTGAGGCATAGTCTAAGTTGCTCAGAGCCTCACTAACTTTAAATTTTTGATCCTCCTGCCTCAGCCTCCTGAGCCACTGGGATTACAGGTGTGCATCACCGTGTCTGGCTCTGATTCTTTACATAAGACAAATATTGAGAATTCACCACACTTTGTAAGGTAATTCTGGCTATACTAAAACAACTTCCTGTGAGTTCCACAATTATACTGATAACTTAGGCAACTGCCAGTGAAATATGACTTCCAACCTTTGACCTCTAGCCCACTGGACAGTTGTCACCCTGGGTAGGAGCTCTATCCTGAAGATACCAATGTCAGTGTTATTTTATGTCTTCACAACAATAGCGGATGTCGTTGTTTCTGTTCATTTAATTCTCTTTTTAATTATTGTCCATCATTGCCAGAATATTTATATGTTGAACAAGGAAATGTACTTCATAAAATCCATGCTCCGTAGCAATCCTTGGACTAATAAAGTAAGTGACATGGATTCTTAAAGGAAATCAGCACCCCATGATTTGATGTCTGGATCCTCTCCTGACACTGAAACTTGGGCACCAGAGCTGGCTGCAGTTACTCCTTATGAATGATGGCAGTTTCTTTGCCATCTCCCCCAATCCCCAAAAAAACTATATTCTGAAAATCAGGATTGTAGGTTTCTGACTAAAATTATTTGTCTCTTTGATTTCACTACAAAAGAATAAACTGTGAACATGACAACATAAACATTTGCATTTAAAAAATATGAGACAATATTTCACATACTGGAGAAATATGGTCCTTATGAACACATTGCCAAATTGCAATTGTGACTTAAAGTTTATTGGCTATGACATGAAATTTCAATTAGTGATAAATTTAGAATAAACTTCTTGTACAAAGTATTTTACATAGCTATTTCAAGAGGTTCAGAGGCATGGATGTGGAAAGATTTAAGGAATTTGTTTATGTATTCAATATAAACCTTTTGCACACCCTGCTTCAGAAAAGGCATTAAACTGGGTATATCTGGTACAGGAAAAAAAAATAGTCTATATGGCTAAGCTTATCCTTTTAGCCAAAATGATTTAAAAGTTAGATAATATGGTAAAGAAGAAAACTTGAATAAAATTACAATGCTTAACAATTTTATTATACTATAGTGATAAACCTTTGCTTTTCTTATCATCTTCATTGAACTACTGCAGTGCTTAGCTCTGGGGCAACTGGGGAATCTCTTTCTTTATTTTGTTTACAACATTGCTAAAATTCCCTGAAGCATCAACCTTTCTTGAAACAAGATTTACTTCTCATTTTCCCTATAGAAAAGGGAGCTAACCACATATGACTTTGATTTACTGGCCCTCACTGATCCACTATCATTTTAGAATAGTCTAATCTGTATTCTGTAATGGGACAATTTTTAAGAGTATCTATTCTTGTCAGTATTTATTCACATCAGTGATTACAAGCATCAGTAATACTCTGTAAGACTTTAAGTGATTTACAGGTATATGAAAGGAAAATCCATGAGTGTGTCTTCCAAGACAACACTGTTTGAAAGGAACAACTGTTTAAAACCAAAGATGTTGTTCTCTTATTTTCAATGTGTTACAGTTTGGATCTTAAATATTCCCTAAAGGGCTAAGTGTTGAAGACTCAATCCCTAGCCAGTGGAAGGTTGTGGAATCTTTAAGAGGTAAGCCTGCTGTCATGAAAGACATGAAAAAAGTGTGTTTTTACAGTTGTGCCTGTGTTTTTAATTAAAAGAAAGAAAAAAACTGAAACAGGTGTGCTATAATGATCTAGGATGGCCCCTACCTGTCTGTGATGCCACAGGAGTCTATCTGAAGGTCGCTGAAGTTTCCCAGCGCCCCCTGCTGTATTGAGATGGGAATCCACCACTGTGCTGCCAATGGAGATAAGCTTCAGGCAGCCCTGAAACCCTCCCAGGGGATTTTCACATTGAGAGCCAGAGCTGTTGTCAGGATAGCCTGAAAACAGAGACAAAGACAGGAGAAAATCAACAACTGTAACAAAGCTATTTCACAGTATTTATTGTATAAAGACTGTTGCTTCCCTGTTTACAGACACCTGAGGATTAGACTTCCTAAACCACCTGGAAAGGTCACAGATAAGAGGATGTTAGTGGGGTAACAAGAAGAAAAGCTGTAAATAAAGAGAGAGCATGAAAATAATCATTAGAGTCAAGCTTACGGGAAGACAAGAGGAAGAAAAGATGTACAATCCTGCAAATAGTTATGGCACCTTTGATTTAAGTAAAGCAACATGAGAAAACAATACTTGTAGCATAATACTAGACCATATAAACTAAAAGACATGTGACAGTAGTACCAGAAGAAAATTATAGGCATATCAATACTGGCTAAGTTTAAAATGTTTGAAAAGTAATTTTAAATTGAATATTTACATAAATATGCTGAACTTGCCTAAATATTAAGTTAAATATCTACTCTAATGTACATTTGCACATGTATACATACACATATTTTAATATTTTATAATTTTGGTCATATAAATCTAACTTCTCCCATCTCTTTTGAATGTGGCACTTTAGTCAAACATCTTTCAACATTATTTTTCAACACTAATGAACAAAAATTAACAAGCGTTTTTACAATGATATGGCACTGCAAATAGGAGAAAAATTAGCATTTATAATAGTCCACTTATAAAGGGCAATATTAACAATTAAATTTTACAAGTCCTGCCATCCCCACCATTAATCAGTTTTCTGTAAGTTACAAACTGCATTTCCTATATAGTAGTTTTATCTCACACCTCGATTTCTCCAGATGACTGTTATGGTTTTGATATTAGGTGTCCCTCAGAAGCTCATGTGAGACAATGCAAGAAAGCTTAGAGGTATAATGATTGGGTTATAAAAGTCTTAATCTAATGTGTGTATTAATCCTCTAATACAGATTAACTTCATGGTGACTGTAAATTGGTAGGGTGTAGCTGGAGGACATGGTTCCAGGGGGCGTGCTTATTTTTTCCAGGGGGCATGCATATTTTGTCTGTGGTGAAGGCAGTTTCTCTCTGCTTCCAGGTGGCATGTCCCCAGCTGCTTCCCTCCAGCCCAGACCTAGTGAGCTAGTCATCAATGGTCTGAAACCAAAATAAAATTTTCCTCCTCTGAAATAGTTCTTGTCAGGTCTTTTGGTAACAACAGTGAAAAAGCTGATTAAAACAATGACAAAGATCTTATAACAATGATGAGCAAGGGCATCTCTTTGAAATCCAAATCAAAGCAAGAAGAGTCCACAGCATATCCTTCAGCCCATACGCAGACAGCAAGCACTTGAGTATTTTCTCACCCTCTATTCAGTTTCCCTCAAACAGTCTCAGGTTTTTAGATTTGCATACTGCAAGATAAGCAATGAAAAAGAGGGAAGTAAAAGAAAAGGAAAGAGGATGCAGTACCTGTAAAGAGCTTTTGTAATAGGTGACTCTTTGAGAAAGTGGACACTGCACAATACAGCCCAGTCCTCCACCCATAGTGCCTTTTCAGGACTGAGGTGGGCCCTCCCCAGGGTCTTAAGGGATCCTACAAGCTTCCAGTGACAGCCCTCTTAGGGGCTACCCAGCATCCAATGATGCAGTGGAGAGATACGGTGCCTGAACTCCTTGGCTCATCTGGGACAGCCCCAAGGAGCATTGCTGCTGAGTCTCCCTGAAGTCTTCTGAGTGTTCTGTTGTAACAGCATTACTGCAGCTCAGCTTTGTCCCTCATCCACCTCCAGTGGCTCTCTCAACTTTCCAAAGGTTGTTCCAAATTAATTCTCCCCACTAAGCCACCTGTGTAAGAATCTCCCACAGAGTCAACTTTCTGGGGAGCCCAATCTAGAACAAAGAAAAATAAAATTTCAAAGCATTTATTGAATCCAATACTTAATTTTCATATGCAAATGTGAAAATTACACAGCATTTAAAAAAGACTGCTGTAAACCCTAAAAATTATAAATTTTATGAGAAGTATAATTGAAAACAGTAATAAAATAGTGGAGAACATTTATTTATTCTTTGCTTTAAAAAATTATTTTTCATTTTTATTATTTCCAGAACTGTTTTTAAACTTTGTAGATATGTTAATATTAATTAATTATCATCTTTTTTTGCTACATGTTTTCCAATGATTTAAATATTAAAGAGTTCTAATGCTGATATTTATAACCTGATTTTTAAGACTAGTTTACTTTTTCAATTGAAAAATTTGTTATTTGACAGGTAACTTGTGAATTAATGTAAGGAAATGACAGGGCTGGGTGTTGCAGAGTACTTGCCTAGCACATGTGAGGCACTGGGTTAGATCCTCAGCACCACATAAAAGTAAATAAGTACAATAAAGATAATGTATCCATCTACAACTAAAAATATATTTTAAAAAGAAATGACAATAACCTGCATATACAATAATTCAAAATATTTTCACTAAGCACCAAATAGAACAGTTTCCAATCTTTTTACCAAAATCTCCTTTATCATTCAAAGACTGCCCCAAACTTAGATTTTTAATCAAGAAATTTAAAGCTGCCAATCAGAGCTTCCAATTAGCATAAGATGACCAGGTTAAATCCTTATAATGTGAGTAAAAATAACTTGAAAGCTTTAACCTTTACTTTTTTGGGGGGTGGGGGTACCTGGAATTGAACCCAGGAGCACTTAACCACTATGCCACATCCCCAGCCCTTTTTCTATACTTTTTATTTAGAGATAGGGTCTCACTGAGTTGCTTAAGGCTTTGCTAAATTGCTGAGGCTGGCTTTAAAATTGTGATCCTCCTGCCTCAGCCTCTGGAGCCACTGGGATTACAGGCATGCACCACCGCACCCCACTGTAACCTACATTCACCCCACTTTAACCTATAAGTTCTAACTGAGGGAATCAACTGGTCTTAGGAAGGAAATTATAGGTTATAGGTCCACATGCCAAATGTCATCCACAAAGCACTAGAACAAAATGAGTAAAAAGTATCATACTTGAAGTGAGAACAAAGTATCATATAAAATATATGGTCTTATATCTTCAAGGGAATAATTCCCAATTTCTAGGGGCATACAATGTAGCAAGGGGTACAGAATTAGATAGGAAACACTAACACATAAAGAAGAAAAAAGGAAGGACAATGGGAGGAATAAAAAGTCCTGTGCCCTGGGATGAAATGGGAAGGGTATTTGGAGCCTTCATGAATCAGATGGCATCCAGGCCAGACCAGGAACATGAGTGGATGTCTGTGCATGTTGGGGAAGAATCTTCAAGGCTGGAGAGAACAAAATGAACCAAGCCACTGACCCACAGACCTACTATTCAAAAGAAAGCAGAGTCTTTGTACTGGGTAAAGGGATGCAGTCTAATAAGAGATGTATAAAACAGAGAAAGGAACACTTCCTTCAATGAAAGGGCAAAGTACCTTCCCCAGTGGAGACACTCCGTGCACTCTGTGGAGGTCACATAGCTGAGGATCACTATGCAGGTCACCAGGAATCCCAAGGCTCTAGATACCTGGCATCAAATCCATGGGCAAGAATATTCCTTCCATGTAAACTGTCTCTTCTCCAAAAATTAAAACAACAACACAAGCAAACAAAACAAAACTCAAAAGTATAGGAATCAGAGTGAGCTTTGACCCCTGGTGCTTCACTGGTGTCCCAGCTGTCACACTAGGGAGACAGGGTCTGCTTTGTTATTCACACTGGTTCATTACTAAAAGGCATCCAGCATATCATGTCCTAATACAGCTCCCCTCAAAAGCAGTAAACACCACACAAAACATAAATTTACTAAAATAAAAAGAAGCATCAAATTAAGGATCTACTATAACATGACGACACTAACTTAGCATATTTTAACCCTTTTGTGACCCATTTACAGAATATGTGCACCATATAATGTGCACTCTATAATGCTCTGGAATCCTTACAAATATTACATTAGATTGCTGTTTTAGTCAGCTTTTCAACTGCTGTGACTAAATGATCCAGCCAGAACAAGTGTAGAGGAGAAAAAGTTTATTTGAGGGCTCACAGTTTCAGAGGCTTTAGTCCATAGAAGGCTGGCTCCATTCCTTGGGGCTTAAGTTAAGACATCATGGTGGAAAAGTGTGACAGAGGGAAGTGGCTCACATGATGATTACAAAGTAAAAAAAGAATGACTCCACTGGCCAGATACAAATATATACTCCCAACCATGCCCCAATTCTCACCTCCTCCAGTCACACCCTAACATTTCAGTTACCATTCAATTAATCCCTAACAGGGGATTAATTTACTGATTGGGTTAAGACCCTTACAACCCAATCATTTCTCCTCTGAACTTTCTTGCATTGTCTTACACATGAGCTTTTGGGGGAACAACACATCTAAACCATAATAACTGTTATTCTTGATACAAAGTCTTGAAACAGCAAATTTACATATTATTCTATCAAAAAAGGCCTACAATCAAACTCCTCCCCTGATTCTCAGACTACTTTGATATTTTTCCCCTCTGAACATAACCAACTAAAAGCTGGAGACAAAAAGATTAAGACACATAATAATGGAAACTTTTTATGAAACAAGCAAGAAGCCTTAAGAAACTATGTCGGGCTGGGGATGTGGCTCAAGCGGTAGCACACTCGCCTGGCATGCGTGCTGCCCGGGTTCGATCCTCAGCACCACATACAAAGATGTTATGTCCGCCGAAAAACTAAAAAATACTATGTCATCACACTAATATGCTGGCAGCTGGAAGTTTGCTGGGGCCCCACAGCAAACTTCCAGTTGCCAGCACTAATACTCTAAACTTTGCTACAAACCCTCATTTGGTGTTATGGAGTGAACTGACCAATATAATCAATAAGTCATAGATATAGGTTACAGGTATAAGGCAAGATAGAATAGATAATCAATAAGTAACAGACATAAAGACTACAGGAATAAGGTAAGATAACATAGATAAGCAATAGTAAGACATAAATTCATCAGGAATAAGCCTAAGTAATAGTAGAAAAATCATGTAACTATAAAACATAGGATTTATGTCAGAGGATAAGTCAGTATAGTTATAAATAAACATAAGCAAGTAGGTTAATATAGATAAGGTTAGATTAACATAGCAACTTGATCTTATAGCCTTGCATAGGATAAAAGACATAGGGTTTATAGATATTAGTAAAATGACAGGTGAAAATGTGTGTGTGGGCCATAAGATAACTATAGTTTTAAGTAGGCATCAAATAAGTTAGTAGTACTGTGTAAAACAATTGCTCTAGTAGAGACTCATTAGTCACTTGCAATAATTCCCGCCTTACTGGGATTCTGGGAATAGGGTCACTGTAGTCATTTGAGTAAAAAAAAAAAAAAAAAAAAAGTGACTATAGAAATTCCATCTTAGTTTCTTTGTTACTGTTCCTATGAAGAGAGAACTGCATGAACCCATTTTTAGGAAATAGAAACTAAAGCTGTTTTCTTATTTAAAAATTTATTTTTCTGTACCTTGTACCCCACAAATTGTACCCTACTCAGGATGCAGTGGTGGTCATGGTGAGCTACATCCTTGGTTTGAATGCCCTTGTGGGTCTACATGACTTTGAGATTGTCACCCCACCAACCCCTGCCCAAATTCAGGATGTGACTGTCTAGCACCTGCTTGAACCCAGGACTGTGGGCAACTGAACTGCAAAGCTAATGCTTTTTGTTAAGATTCTTTTTACCGTTTGCTTGCTGACTGGAAAATTCCAGTACTGCTTGGAGCCCAAAGGCCCACTTATTAATATTTTAATTTCTGCATTTGGCTAGCTTACATGATGATAAGCAAGCCACTGAGTTATGGTTTTTGTGTTTATATTCTCCTTGGATAGATCAGGAAGCTGCTTTCCTCTCACAGAGCTTGAGTCTCTACTGTGCATGACAGTCCCTGGTCAGGTAAATAAGGCTCTCTTTTGATTTGAAATTCAAACTTAGAGTGCTTTCTGGAGTGGCTCCCCATAATATTTGTTCACAAAGTTATAGGCGTTTTATAAAGTACTCAAGTAATTAACAGTTCATAAAAATAGGGGGAAATTTTTAGGTGGAAACAAAACTGACACCAACTCATTCTTTGGCAGTCTTCTAAAATGCCATGTCCACACAGAGGAACATTTGCTCACACAGAGAGACATCCGCACAGGGTGCCTTGGGTACCTGGAGCACAGACATACTGCCAGACACCTGCTCTAGGTAGACCAAGGAGCCAAGAGGGGGCTTTTTGTGTCACACATAGATGTCCTCCAGCACCTGCTATAGTCCGTGCCTTAGCTCTGTGAAGGGCTTCTGCACTGTGTCTTTCAGCTGCATTTCATTCTTTAGTTTTGAGACATCCTCTGTGATTACTTGCTCTAGTTTCTAGAAAATACAAAACTGCAATCTTTTATGTGGGGAAAAAACATCCTGTCTGTCTCAGGATATCCAGAAATTTATGGATACACTAGACAACACCAGTTCAAGTTGCTTCCTGATGGTGCCACTGACAGAATCCTGACTCACAAGAGAAATAAAGCAAGCCTTGAATGATGACTCCAACTCATCCACCAAGAATTGTTAGAGTTTTTCAGAGTGCCAGGCGCTGCCTGAAGAAGCCAGGTCTGGCCTAGGAGTCCCCATGGGAGTGACCCGGTCCCCAGTGGGTACCCTGAGAACACATTGCCCAGCAGAGCCACCCTGTCTGCAATCACTATTTGATCTTTAAAATCAAATTGGGCAAATAATTTTATGAAGTAAAGATTTTAACCACTATACACAGGTATTTTTTCTTTCGTTTCTATTTGTTCTTTTGTCTTCAGATCACTGATGCATTTTCAAAGAACAGGATATTAAAATTCAGCCTCTTCTTATTCCAGCACAATATGTGCTGGCTTTCTACCTAAGGATTTTCATAAAATGCACATAGTTGATTTTCACTTTTCTCACAGTGGCTGAGACTTTCAAAAATGCTGTGCATCTTGACAAATATAATTGAAAACAAGCCAAGACCTGAATCTGGTTTAAAACAATTGACAGGCAACATGTAATCTTAAATTAACCTCAAAAAAACTTTGATATTTCAAATTTAATGTTACATCAAAAATATTCATTAAACTCCAGAGCCTTACTTTATGCTTATTTTATGTGTCAATGCATTTATTTTATTTTTATTTTTTTCAATGCATTTATTTTAATTTGTAAAAGAATTTCTGAAGGGTTGGATGCATTTGGAAGAAACTTGATATATCAGTATAGAGGTGTCTTCTACTTAGAGTAACTTATTAGGAGCATTAGGAGAAGTAATAGAAACATTTCTTTATTGCTTATTTTTAGTTATACAGATAGTAGAATTAATTTTGATATAAATATACAAGCATGGAATATATCTTATTCTAATTAGTTCCCCATTCTTATGGATGTACATGATGCTGGGATTGACTATGGTTATTAATGTAAAGACAAAGGAAAAATATTTTGGATTCTTTCCACTGTCTGTCCTTTTCTTATCCCTATCCCCTTTCCTTCATTCTCCTTTGAATTTCTATTTTTCCCCTCTCCCCTTATTTGAGTTAGCTTCCACATATCAGAGAAAACATCTGACATTTAGCTTCTTGGAACAGGCTTATTTCACATAGCATGATAGTTTCCAGATCTATTCACTTCCTTGCTAATGTCATAAAGTCATTCTTCTTTATGGATGAGTAATACTCCATTGTATATATACCAGTGGAGTATATATATGCCTAGGTTGGTTCCACAGCTTAACTATTGTGAATTGAGCTGCTATAAACATTGATGTATCTGTGTCACTGTAGTATGATGATTTAACTGGGGTCAAATGGTGGTTCCATTCCAAGTTTTTTGAGTAATCTCCATACTACTTTCCAGAGTGGTTGCACCAATTTGCAGTGCCACCAGCAAGCAATTTATGAGTATACTGTTTCCCCCATCCTTGCCAACTTTTATTGTTATTTGTAATCTTGATGACTGACATTTTGACTCGAGTGAGATTATGTCAGTAATTTTAATATGTATTTATCTAATTGCTAGAGATATTGGACAGTTTTTCATATATTTGTTAGCCATTTGGACCTCTTTTGAGAAGTGTCAGTTCAGTTCATTTGCCCATTTATTTATTAGGTTATTCGTGTGGTTACTTGTTTGTTTTTGGAGCTAAGTTTTTTGAATTATTTATATATCCTGGAGATTAACTCTAAGATGCAAGTAGCAAAGATTTTCTCCCATTCTGTAGGTTCTCTCCTCACATTCTTGATTGTTTCTTTTGCTGTGAAGAAGCTTTTTAATATAATTCCATCCCATTTGTTGATTCTTGATTTTACTTCTTGTACTTTTAGGAATCTTGTTGAGGAAGTCACTTCCTAAGATGACATGATGGAGAATTTTTCTTTTTCTACTTTTTCTTCTAAAAGGCACAAGGTCTATGGTATAATGCCTAGGTCCTTGATCCACTTTGAGTTTTGTGTATGGTGAGAGATAGGGACCTAATTTCATTTTGTTACATATGGATTTCCAGTTTTCCCAACACCATTTGTTGAAGAGGCTATCTTTTCTCCAGTTTATGTTTATGGAGTCCTTGTGTAGTATGAGATAACTGTATTTATGTGGGTTTGTCTCTGTATCTTCTATTCTGTACCATTGATGTTTATATCTCTTTTGGTGCCAATACCATGTCATTTTTGTTACTGTAGCTCTGAAGTATAATTTAAGGTCTGATATTGTGGTGCCTCCTGCCTTACTTTTCTTACTGAGGATTGTTTTGGCTATTCTGGGACTCTTATTTTTTTCAGATGAATTTCATGACTGCTTTTTCTATTTCTATGAAGAACATCTTTGGAATTTTGATGGGAACTTCATAGGCAATGGCAATATTAAGTCAAATATTTTTGCATAATCACTAACATTATTCAGCATTAAAAGAGAATAAAATCATGGCTTTTGCAGGTAAATGGATGAAGCTGGAGAATATGATGCTAAGTGAAATTAGCCAATCTCCCAAAACCAAATGCTGAATGATTCCTCTGATTTAAGGATGCTGATCCATAATATGCTCTGGGGGTGGGGGAGGAGATGGATGGGAGGATTAAATAAACTCTAAATAGGGAAAAGGGGAAAAGGGAAGGGAGGGAGCATGGGGGTAAGAAAGGCGGTGGAATGTGATGGTGATCGTTACCCTAAGTACATGTAAGAAGACAAGAAGAATGTGACTCTACTTTGTGTACAACAAGAGATATGAAAAATTGTGCTTTATATGTGTAATATGAATTGTAATGTATTATGTTGACATATATAACAAATCAAAATAATAAAAAAGAATCACTAGTATTTCTTTTCTGCTTATTTCCCTTTTATCTAGATCATAGACTTCAAACTATTCCAAAATATAATGTGGTATATTTTTCTTTTAGGAATAAAATTAAGCCACGTCCAATAATTACAGTAAACATTTCTTAATGTAGAATTTTAAAGAAGAAGAAGGTCAAGCCACTAGGTACATGGCTCACTAGTCACAACAGAGAGAGAAATAGAAAAGGAAGGGAAATTGAGATTCAAAGCCAGCAAAAGCCAGGAATGTTCCATTTCTTCATGCAGAAGGTTTCTCCCAAGCCCATACAAAAGGTAAAATGGTGGAGGTTTCTTCATTAGGGACCTCATTTGAGATTAAAGGTGTAAATAGGGAAGTGGATGCTTACTGTACAAATAATAAAATGTATCTTTCACTATTGAGGAGCGTCATCATGATTAAGTTCCTGTGAGGAACACAAGAGGACCTGATACTTTATGCCACTGTACCAGAAAGAGGTCAGCAGAGTGAGACTTTGTTACAGAGTGGTCCCCTCATGTTTCACATATGGTGGGTTTGGCACCTTTGAACATAATTTACTATTCCCAACTCTGTGGTAAAAAATCTGTTAGTTAATAGTACAAAGATCCTGTAGCAGGGAATTTTTAACTTTTAGTCACCCTCAATAGCCGGCACCAAAAGTACAATATGCTATGGAGAAACAGCTATTTGAAGAACACTTCACACACACACACACACACACACACACACACACACACACACATCCTTAGGCTGAGAAAAAGATAATTAAATCAGAGTTCTAATGTGAGAAATAAAAAATACTGCTATTTGTTATGGTTTTGATATGAGGTGGCCCCAAACACTCATGTGTGAGACAATATAAGAATGTTCATAAGTGAAATGATAGAGAGTTACAATCTAATTAATGGATTCATCCACGAATATGGACCAACTAGGTGGTAACCGTAGGCAGGTAGGATGTTGGTTAGAGGAAGTAGGTCACCGGGGGCATGACTTTGGGGTTTATATTTTGTCCCTAGTAAGTACAGCTCTCTGTTTCCTGACTACTGTGAGCTGCTTTCCTCTGTCATGGATTTCTACTATGAGGTTCTGCCTCAACTTGGGTCCAGAGGTATGGAGTCAGTTGACCATGACTGAACCTCTGAAACCACGAGCCAGAATAAAACTTTTTCCTCCTTTAAGTTATTCTGGCAAGATCTTTTAGTCACAGCAACACAAAGTTGACTAAAACACTGTTGAGTAGGTGAATCTCTCTCACAAGAAGAAAGATGCATACTGAGACATCCAGACCAAAATATAGCAGATAACATAGCAAATAATTCCATGCCACCAGAAGGTCTTGGTTTATGTTGCTGTCCTTTCATAATTACTCATATCATCCCTCTCATTCTCTAAAGTGTCCTGGTTTGGACAATAAATTTATTGTCACCCTAACTATAATAGCAAGGCACACATATACGCTTTTAGGGTGAAGTACTATCATAAAATTTGGTTGACTATAGCTATAACATAATTTGGAATAAGGGGTTAAGCTTACATTAGGAAATAAAGGGGAAGAGAACTGGTTGTAGAGTGTCTCAGATCACAGGATATTGATTTCTTTGAAGAATCAATGTCATTAACTGACTTCCACTTAGTGGACCCAGGAACACTTTATTAGCCCAGTTGTTGTGACAGTGTGTGAACTGGGTGAAGTAAATTTCCTTGTTCAGTGTCAAACATATTCTGGCACCAATGGACACTAATTAAAAAGAGAATTAAATGAACAGAAACACTGACACCAACTACTCTTGTGATTGCCTAAAATAACCCTAATTCTGGGGTTGTCAGGGTGGAGTTCCTCTCAAGATGAAGCTGAGTGGCCCCAGAACAAACCTGGAACACCCATGCATTAAAGTTCTGAGTATAATATATCTACTAAAAGCCAGAACTCCATGTCTATTCATCCTATATTTTCTCTACTGGGTTTCCTGGTTGTACAAATAATAGATACCTTTTTAATCTAAAAAAAATGAGCAAACTGATATGTTTGAGTATTTATTTGCATGTGTGTTTTTACCTGATGAAAGCAGTACTTCAGTTTGTTAAATATTATATATTCTTTCTTCAGAAAAAAAAGATACATTTACATTGGCATAATATCTATAGAGGACTAAGTCTGAATTAGTGTCTAAAATTGTACTGTGGGGATTAGCTGGTTATTTATAGCCATGCATATAGAGGTCACTCTATATTTATACATTTCTTAGGAATAAAGTGCTGGGATCGCAAATTCTGAAAATATTTTTGCAACTAAGTGCCAATTTGCAATTATAACAGAAAAACTGTTAAGTCATAATGAAGAAAAGTTATCAAGCTCCCCTCCCTGTTAGGATGTTTATAATCTGTAATTTCGCTCATCTTGGGGAAATAGTTTCTCATTGGAAACTATATTAGCAAGAAACTTTTTGTGTCTAACAATAAAATTTTATGAAAATGCACAAAAAGGACTGTTTTAACTCCAGATCTCTAGGGTCCTGTCGAATATATTGGAGGAACCAAAAGCTAGGTCTGTGTGCATGACTTATGTGAGTTCTAATGAATGCAACTTAACAACCAGTACATGTCACTTAAACTGCAGTATGTCACTTCTGCTTCACTGAACTAACTCTACATTTGAGCACCATAATATGGTACATAAAGAAAATTTTAAAAATCACTGGTAAGATGATTCTTAGCAACTGTACAAGAATTATTAATAATTTTTTTTAAAAAATAGTAAATATGGGCACAATCAAAACATGTATCAATAGTAAAAAGAGACAGTGGAATAGATAACTAAACTATGATAAAATATTCATTGAAAACCATGCAGCAGTAAAAATTCATTAAGTTTGCCAATTCACATATACATGGCTGGATCTCAGAAAGTAATGAAGAAGAATAAAAGGAAGTCATGGAAGAATGCACAGTCTTACCCTATGTATTAAATTAAAAGTGGGCCAGCACAAAATAAAATACTACTTAAAATTACTTACATAGATGATAAACCTACGAAGTGCAAGATAATAACTCCCTGGGAGATGAGTTTGAAGGAAGTAAGAGAAGCTTCAAAAATACTATAATGTTGCATTCTATAGGCTTTTAAGAAATATTAGTAATGCTGTATAAATGTGTGAATGTGGTCTATTTCCCAGTAACAATTCATATCACATCAGTGTGTAAATATTTATGGAAAGTACTTATGCTCATGGCTCTGTGCATTGCATATTCTGAATATGTGTTAAAATATGAAAGATGATTCTGTGATCTGAAAGCATTTTTCTCCAGTGTACTTTATTTTGTATCATTAAACAATACAGCCAGGATTTTGTTTCCTATCCCTTTTAGTGCTTCAGAATCTTTTACCCTTTGAATTATAGTTCTTGTATAAATTCTCATTTTGGTATTGAAGGAATTTGTTTCTCTGCAGAGCTATAAAATCTTTCATAAATAGCAAACATCTTGTAAAACCCTCTCAGGATCAGAAATGTACCATATTTAGCAAACAAGAAAAGTACACAGTCCAATGTTTAAGGGTGTTGACACTATTTTACCTCTTGCAGTCATGGTTGCTCTAGGAAACTTGAAAGATTAAACAACTGGATTCATGGTTTGTATTTCCATTGTCAATTCTTAGAGAGGGTTTTATATTTTCTTTTTGGGCTGGAAAGCTATCTCCATCATGATTCCAATCTTATTTTAGAAAGGAACAACTATAAAATGCAAAACAGGAATAATATCAAGAAAGGCATTAAGCCAAGGTTAGAAATAACTCTTACTATTGACAGGTCCAAGCATCTAGTGGCAAAAATTTTTCACTTGACTACCCCAGGGATAGAGATTCATTACCCTCAGAGGCACTCTCTTGCTGGCTGAAGGGATCCTGGATGAACTAAATCGAAGACCCATTCAGCAAGCAAATGCTCCATTTACTGGAGCCCAGAGGATATGTCCTGGTGTTGTCTTGGTAAAATGCATTGCTAAACAAGAGTAGAAAAATTAATAGACAATATCTTGCTCTATTGTACGTAATAGTGCCCTTCCATATAGATGGCTTCTTAAACTCTAAAGTACTGAAGACCACCTGGGATCTTGGTCACATGCAGATCATGATGCAGAAGGTGAGGGGCAATGAGTCAGCATTTCCAGCAAGCTTTCAGGTGTTGCTGAAGAAACATTCCAGGGAGAGGAGGAGCCAGCAGTCAGAATAAAGCAACTATGCAGTAATAATGTTGACAAATGAAATCAAAACGAAAGGTTGTAACAGCCTTTGGGGATTAGGGAAATTCCTTGTGATAAGGGTTAGAAATAGACAACAAGGATGCTCCACATTGTCTTCACATTAAAATCACCTGAAGGGCATTTAAAAAACTCAGGACACAAGATTAGTTAACTCAGCACCATCATGTTTTTTTTAGTTGTTGATGGACCTATTATTTTATTTATTTATATGTGGTGCTGAGAATGGAACCCAGTGTCTCACACATGCTAGGCAAGTGCTCTACCACTGTGGCATGACCCCAGCCCTGCACCAGCATTTTTGAAGCTTTCCAGTAGATTGCCACGTGCAGCTGTAGTTGAGAACAACTCCCAAGAGGAAGTCCTATTTAAAATCAATCACATTAGTGCACATTTAAATAAGATCAATGAGTAGACTTGCATTTTAGGCTACAATTTATTGTCTTTGTCCATCAAAATTCCCAGCTGACTATCACTGAAAGAGAAAAATCATTCTAAAATATCAGTTTTCATTTAGCAATACCAGTCACCTTGGAATGTGGAAGACACAAATAAGGTTTGATTAATATAGCCTGTGCCTTTTACTTACCCCCAATAATAGTTATTAGCAGAATGAATCTGCCCACGCAGGGAATGGGCAGCAGAGGATACATCATTGTCCACCTTCAGGCTCAAATGATTCCCATTAGCAGACAAGGACACAGAATGCCACTGACCATCATTTAATCCATCACCTGGAGGTAAACAAAGTGGGTTATAAGGGACCCCAGTACAGGACCAGTGCCTGAAAACAGTAGATGCAGACAATGGCAAGTCTGCTTGTCAAAGACCACCACATTCCACCTCAAGTGCCCCGGGTTGTTTTTCTGTGTGAGATCTCAAATGGAGACAGGGAAAGGCTGAGGAATGATTTGAGCTTTGGTAGGAGATCCTGAGAAGGTGATTAGGTAAGCCTGTAGCCTGCTCAAGAGGAAGGGATTGTCCATGTCAGCTTGGACAGTGGCTTGTTGAGTTGGGTTAGGGATTCGAGGGAGACTTTGTCTCTGGTTGGCCGGTTACGGACTGGTTTGTTTGGTTCTTATTATGTTCTAACAAAAATTATTCTGTTCATTTGGGAATATTATGGTTTATATACCCATTGCCAGCCCTGTTTTTCACTTTCTCATCACTCTTTAAGTCAGATAAGTATGGGGGAAGGGGAAGAAAAAGAAATCAGAATAAAAGGGATAAAGACACAGAGCAGGCAGTCCTGCATTCTACACCAGGAGACAGGAGTACTTTCTTCTATCTAGGGCTTTTGTGGAATACATTTTCCACAACTGACCTTGAACTATCCTGTGATGAGAAAACATTTCCAATGACAGAACACAGGGCATAGTTAAGTCTCATCTAGTTAAATAATATCTTTAGCTATTGAGAAGTACAGATATTATCCAAGATTTCAAATTAAAAATGTTTCTTACATGCATGTATTGTTAATTTTTATAATCTTAGTAGACAATTTAAACAAAATGATATGCTCAGGTATAATAAACAAATCAAACATTCACAAAAATACTAATTTAGGCACTAATTAGGCACAGATATTCATAAAAATAAAATGTAAAGCTAAAAAAGCATTACATTAAAATGTATGTGGTATATGTGGATGTGTTTAAGTTTTATATAAACATGCAAAAAAAGTTGGCAGATATATTCTTTTTTGTTGTTACCAGAGATTGAACCTGGGGGCACTGAACCACAGAGCAACATCCCCAGCCCTTTTTTAAAAATATTTTATTTTGAGACAGATTCTTGTTAAGGTGCTTACAGCCTTGATAAGTTACCGAGGATGGCTTTGAAATTGCAATCCTCCTTCCTCAGCCTCCCAAGCTTCTGGGATTACAGGCCTGGGCTACCACATCTGGCAGCTGGCAGAAGTATTCTTAAAAATTACATATTTGGGTGAGAAAACTATGTTTTCATTTTATGTCACTTTTACATTTTCTCTTTTCCAAATTTGCTACAGTATATTCACCTATAACTATAGTTTTATTTTTTAAATACAAATATTAGTTCTTGCTCAAGCAGTCAGTCTCTTGCATCCTAAAATGAACTATCTAATCTTCTTTAAGATGATGGAACAGAGGGTGGTGGAGTCATGGACTGGCAACCAACTGAGCATGATGGAATTATCTCCTGCTGGCTCCATTACAAGGCTTTATGATGAAAATTCATACTGGCATGCGGGAGATCAATCAGTGAACAGCAAGCATCCCAGGACATTGCCCAGTGCAATTTTTATTAGCTTCCACTAGAGTATTTTGTGGCAGCAAACAACCCATGTGTCAGTGACTAACAAACTAAGGTTCATCTGTCTGTGGTTCCAAGCAGCAGATCTGCATCCATTCTGTGGCACGTGATCTTTTCACCTAAGACCAAGTATGAATGCATGGCCTGCAGTTCTTCATGGCTTAGAGAAGAAAATACTTGGCAGAGTTTTGCTATGGCTCTTAAAGCTCCTACTGCAATGTGTCAATGTCACTTCCACTTAGAATCCATTTACCAAAATGTGTCACTTGACCAAGTCTGACATTAATGGACAAGAGGTTACTTCAGGGGGCAGATGCACATTTCCCTGAAGGGAAGAGTGATTAATTGAGATCTTTAGGAATTGTCTTGTAGAAATAAGAAGATCCCAGAGACAAAGTTTAATTCACTTAAAAACAACAAATTAGTGAATGCTTGATTTCTAGGATGCTATGAAACCTGCTTGAGTCTAATCTTATCACCTGAGGGAGGTCCCATAGTTAACTAATGTATCTAATAAATTATAAAGGTACAGACTAGTCACAGCTTTTTAAGGATAAAAATCAACCTGCAGGAATCAGAAGTCATTTTGTAGCCCAGTGGACATGTAATCTCCAAATAAAATGTGGTCTTTCTTCCTGCTGAAGTTCAGTCTTACATATAATTATTATATTTTAGTATTCCTTGCCCAAATGAGCACATAAATCCAACTCCTGAAAATGCTCTAGAAACCAGCTTTTTCCTTCTGCTTGATCTCCCACTAGTGACTTGGTTTTGGGGACTCATAATTCTCTTATGTAGGTCATGTTTCTAACATGACCCCAAAAGTCATAGATCCTGCTCTAGAAAGTGAGAACATCTGTAAACAAGAAGATAGAGGATTTTGCTAAGATGCTAAAACATATTTGATGAAATTAACTCTGAAACAGAATTCTGAAAGAAATTCCATAATCCTAGAACTAGGAGAACAAACCAAAATGGGGGGGGGGACTCTTGTGGTCTTTCCATGTAACGATTCTAACTTAAAAATTGTGGTATGGCAATGTGCAAGGCCCTGGGTTCACAGTCTCTGACACCCCACCCACACACACACAAAAAAAAAAAAAAAGAAAAGAAAAGAAAAGAAAAGAAAAAGGGTTCTGGCTAACAAAAAAAGTTCAATTAATATGTGTGTGTGTGTGTGTGTGTGTGTGTGTGCATACATATATACATATGGGGGTAACCTATATCTCCATGTAAAAAATATAAACAGTTCCAGCTACTATTGCATACAGATTGTAATGTTAAACAAACCAGGATTCGGGTCACTAACTGAATTAATGCTCTCAGTTCAGCTCACAAGGAAATTCAGTATGCTGGTGGTCAATAATTTTTGGTTTATAAAAAGAAAGAAAAATTTTATTTTCACTCCCAGCTTTTCAGACCCTAAGCAAAATATCCCTTCCATATTCAACATTCATGGAGTGACATATTCTCAGCTCCAGCTGAGTTTAAACCATCATTAATTCTCATATGCAAAATGGTCCCTAATGTTCAAAGATGATATTCTCTACAAGTTATAGGAGGTTTACTCCACAACATGTAGCCTCTACCCAAGGTAGCTGCTCTGACAGAAGGGGAAAAAATATAACTTAAATTATAGACACTCCTCAAATTACTATGGAATTACCTCCCAATAAACCCATCTTAAGTTGAAAATATCACAGCCAAAAATTCTTTTAACAAACCTAATTAACCTACAAAACATCATAACTTACACTGGCCTATGTTAAGCATGCTAAGAACATACTTTAGCTTATACTTGAAAAAAATAAGATAAAACCCATTTTTATAATAAAGTGTTGAATATCTCATTTAATTTATCAAATGCCTGTATCCAAAAAACCCACTGGCCTCACAGAACACTGCACATTGTTGGTTGTTGGCCTCTGTGATAACAAGACTCCCTAGGTAACATGGCTGGCTGCTGCTGCCAGCACTGAGAGAGCATCTGCCATATACCTGACTGGCAAGGGAGGTCAAAATTATAAGTTCAAAGCATGATTTCTACGAAATGAATATGGGTTTTGCACCATTGTAAAGTTGAAAAATATTATGTCAAACTATTCTAAGTCCCAGACTGTCTGTATTTTGATGATCAGAGAGTGTGTGGGTGTGAAAGACAGTTAAAAGAGATCCAACCATTTTCTCAAGACTATCTAGGATCAGGCTAATGCTTTCTAGTGTTTCAAGTTTACCTCTGATTGCCAACCCTCAAATTAAGATAATAAAAGTCACATTTTAAACTCTGTAACAATTATACTTTCATGTAAACAGACTTATGTCACATTGACTCACCCATGAGCAACGTAGAGTTTCCCATTTAAAAAGGAAAATAGAATCTGTAGTTAGTTCTACTGAGATTATGAATATCTCATTGTTTCAATTTTTTATTCATTCAAAAATGACTGCTCTCAGGCTTATGGGTAAGGATGTTGATGGCTATACAAAGGCACTGTGATGTCTCACCTGCTATGACGGCTCTCACTGGCTGGCCAGGTGGGCAGAGGCTCAGCTTGAGTTTTCCATCACTAAGAACAAGGACAAGAGCCCCTGACCAGTGTAGAATCTGACTTTTCAGCAATAGCCCTGCTCGGTTCCATGTTCGAAATTGGAAAGTGACAGCTATTGAGTTCCCTCCAGTGGGGTGTGGCAGAGCCAAATAACTCCTTGAGCTCAGAAAAGTCACAGGGACAGTTTGAGGATGTGAACAGAAGGACACATTTCCCTGTGAATACAGTAAAGGAGGATATTAGGAAGGTGTGGTGGTGGCACTTGCAATACATTAACAATTTACTTTCAAAGATTTAAAGCTTCTGATACATCTTCTAACACATTCAGACTTTAAAAATTAGGCTATCCCATCAAAAATCCATGATATTTCCGAGATAGGTCCTTCAAATCAAGGCACTGTTATAACTGAACCTATTTCTCAGTCTGAATCTTAGGAAAATTCCATCCTCCCTGTTTCTTCCGCATCTATAAGAGAGTCTCAAGCCACATTCACTCCATCCCTATGCTGAACTGGGATAATAGATGAGTCAACTTTCCTTCCCCGAGTTGTCCAGATAACCTTACCCAATGGGAAGATGGCATTGAGGATCACCTACTCCAAGAACTGTTCCTTTCTTGTACTGATTCTATAAATATGCTAATAATGGGGTCGCTCCGACCACAGGTTCTACATCTCACGTAGGACATGTGCTTCTATTTATCTTGAGAAAAAGTTGATAGGTCAGATGTCCCAAGAGGCATGTTGGCCTCCTCTCAGAAGCATTCACAGACCCTTAGGCCACATTGCCACTTAGTTGCTCCAGCTGAGGTATGATCTGTCTTATAAGATGCTTTTGTTTCATGTATTTATGTTTTAGAGGGGGTTTTTAATCTCTGGATTATCTCTCTTGTTCTAAGGACCAAATTTATTTTTATTCAGAGTGTTTCAGAATAAAAAATTTAATTCAAATAAAATAAAAACAAGAAGAGTTTTTCCCCCGGAATTACATATATTTTCACAAATTTCACATGGAAGAATACATGTCTCAAAATTGCCCTTCCTATCCAAAATGTATCATTCAAAGAAAAACAGTTAGATAAAACTTACCAGATACCAAAACATACTACCAAATCACCAAATTTAGTCAATGTGGCACTGGTATAGACAATTAGACAAACTAATGTACAGAATAATTAAGCCACAAAAAGAGAACATATGCACAGTTAGTATGTTCTGAAGATTAGGATTCAACTCATTGTGGAGAAAGTTGTATTAGCAAGCAGCACAGGAACAAATGGGTATCCAGAGGTATAATATAAAAATGTGTCTATATCTTATATCACATAAAGAATACATTTCAGTTAACCAAAGACTTTAAATAAAGATATCTAATTTAAAATTTTGCAATAAAATCCATGAGACTATATAGATTCTGTCATTTTAGAAGCATACCAAAGACAGAACACTCCAATGCTATGAAGAAATACACAGGTATATTGACCATAAATAAATAAATACACACACACATACTATATATATATATATATATATATATATATATATATATATATATATATATATACTCAGTGTATCCTAAAATATTAAATGGAAAATTGATAAATCTGAAAAGTAAGGTTATCTATCAAATATAATCCTCTGAGAAGAAAATGTAAAAAAACTTAAAAAATAAAAATGAACAATGATCAGAAAAGCTAATCCAAATGGACAATAAATATGCCCAAAGATTAATTTGCCAATAGTCAGATAAGCATGAACTAGGAAAGAGACATTCCTTCACTCCACTGAGCTGGCAAAGTCTAAATGGTGCTTAACACACATGGCTGGCTGGGACATGATTGGTAAGCATTGTCACATTCTGTGGGTAAATTATATTCTTACAATATGAGGAAAGCAATGTGACATTTATTCAAACTTAAAACTATGAGAAATCTTTTGGCTATGAAATTCTACTCTAGAAACTTTATCCCATCAAAATAAAAGCCTCAATATCTGAAAACATGTGCAAATATCTGTAGTGGGAAAAAGTAGAAATAAGATAACTTACCCTCAATAGGAAAAAGAAGAAAATAATGAAACAGTTTCATAATGGAATATTACATAACCATTATAAAATGGAACTATATATTGTAACTCAAGAAAATTTCCCAAAATGTGTTACTGAGTCAAAAGATGCAGAGAAACATATTTGTAAATACTGCCAAATTCAGATTGGTAAGTATTAATAAACATGTGTGTAAATATGAGCCTGTGACATATCTACCTGGGATTTGATCGTGCTGGATGCAATAAGGCAGGTAAACTAGCCCAGTAACATGACAGTGTTGGGAGGAAATGCAGCTCTTCAGGGAGAAGGCAGAAGGAAAGCAAAAAAAGCTAAGCAGAAAGAAAAACTGGGAGGTGACCTCAGAGAAATGGTATGGGAAGTTCTGGCCTTTCCTTCTCGCCTCCCCAAGACACAAAGATGCAAAGACACAGAGATAGACTCCCTTTGTGAAAAATCAAAAACCAGATTTCTCATGAGAGAAGCATGAAACTAACTACATTGAAGCTGGTAGCAAAATCCATAAAACCCTCACAACATAATCCCTTTCCCAACACAGTGCCAAAAGAGCGCTAGGAACCTGCAGCACTTAGCTTCTTCCCAGGGAGGAAGGAAGGGTCTGATCTGTACATCCAAGTCCAATTTTCTGACTTTCTTGAGGGTTTCCCAAGGGACTGGTTTACTTCTTACCTGAATCTGAACCCTGAAAAGAAGGGACCCTGGATGAGAACAAAAAGAGCAGTACGGAAGATATCTATCAAGCAGGTACTCCTTATGGTACCTCCCCAGGGCTCAGCACAGAGTGCACTGCTGAAACCCCCAAATCCCAGGTTCTTCATGGGGAGGGAAAGAGATGGATTTTGTGTACAACACTCCAAATTTTCCAGGGATAGGCTTCTGCCCAACAGACTGGTTCCTTCTCACCTATCTTGAAGCAAGTTAGAAGCTGGCATGCTGTGGAAATCTAGGAGACATTGAGAACAAAGGTGGCAGCTTGGACGAGCAAGCAAGCACCTGCTATAGACTCTCAACTTCAGTAGAGCAGAAAAAGAAGAAGGTTAAAAACTACCAAATTCCAGTTCCTGAAGAGAAAAAGGATTGGACTGTATGTGTAAGTTTCCAACTTTTTCAGGGGCTGCCAGAGAGACTGGCTTATATCTTGTTTTTCCTGGAGCACTGATTGGACCTGGCACATTTTTTAGATACCTGTTAGCCATTGGGGGAAAAGGTGGCAGATTAGACTATCATGTAAGTAATTATCACAACCTGTCTTCATTGTATGATAAAGTGGGTAAAGAAATCACAAAATCTCAGCTTCTCTTTGGAAGGAAAGAGCTGGATCAAGTATGCAATGTTCCAAAATTTTCAGAGGCTGTATAAGGGACTGACTTTATCTCACCTGTCTAAGAGCACTGATGGGACCCAGCATATTCTAGATGCATGCGGGCCACTGAGAATAAAGGCAAAGGTTGGACTACTATGCAGTCATCTGCCAGAGCCCTTCTCCTGGTCAGCACAAAATAATCATTGAGAATCCCAGAGTCTGGCTTATCTCTGGGAAGAAGAGAGGAGAAAGAAACATATGCCAAATATCAGAACTGGCTTCAGTCTTACCATTTTCAGAGCATTCATGAGACCTGGTATAATCTAGATGTCTGTGTGCCTCTGAGAACTCAAAGGAGTCCTGGTGTGCTGCTGCATCAGAAAACTAGTGATACCACAGACAGAAAATAGAAGCATCAAAAGATTGTGAATTAAAGAAAGAAAGATAAAAAGAAAAGATAAAAGAAACAGGCAAATCTCCTAACTGGCAGTTTACGCAAATAAATCCAGCAAAGACACATATACAGAGAGTTTGAAAGGTCCCTGGCAGGGCTTCCTACTGAGGGTCTTGTTGTATACAAATCTTGTTCATGAAGACTGGAAAAGATGGTTGTTTGTTCTAATGTGCAGGTACTGACACTAAGAGACAAGGAAAATGAACAATTAGGAAAACATGCCTGTCCAAAAGGAACAAGATAAAACTCCAAGACCCCAGTTTTACTGACACGTAACATATGAATTTCCTGGCAGTGTTCAAAATGAACTTGGGAGACAAATGCATGAACAAAATGAAATTTTAGCAAAGATTCATATGAGCCAAACGAACTCTTGACCTGAAAGAAAACAGTAACTGAAATGAAAAAATTCAATAGAAAAATTCAATCTACATCAAAACATCATACTAGATCAAGCAGAAGAATCACTGGATTTGAAAACAGGTCATTTGATATAAGCCAGTCAATGGCATAATAGGAAAAAAAAAGTGAAAAAGAATAAAGAAAAATCTTAGTGGCTTATAGGACACCATTGAATAAACCAATATATACAATTATGAATGTCCAAGAAAGAAAAGACAAAGACAAAAACTTACTCAAAAAAATAATGGAAAAAAAAACTTCTGAAATTTGGAAAAAAAAAGGAATATCTACATTTAGGAAATCCAAATAAGAGGAACAAAACAATTCCACAGTGAGAGACATTACAATCAAATTGTGAAAATTCAGACACAAAGAGAATTGTGAGAACAGCCAATGAAAAGGGACATGTCACATAGAAGAGAACTTCCCCAAGACAGTCACTGGGTTTTTCAGCAGAAACTTTGAAAGGCAGTGGAATATTTCAAAATGCAGAAAGGTAAAAACTGCCAACCAAGAATACAATACTTGGTAAAACTGTCCTTTAAAATTGAAGAGACATAACGATATACCCAAACAAACCTGAAAAAGTCTATTATTACAAGATCAGTCTTACAAGAAATGTTAAAAAAGAGAATTCTTCAAGTTGGAAAAAAAAACAAAGCTAAGAAGCACCATCAATGCATATGGAAGTATAAAACTTGCTGCTAAAGGTAAATACATAAATAAGTACAGAATAATGTAACATTGTAACAGTACTGTGGAAATTGCTTTTTCAATTCTAGTATAAAAGTTAAAGACAAAAATTTTTAAAACAATTATATAAAATATCTTCATGATTACACAATGCAAAATGATGTAAATTTTGATATTAATAATATAAAGTCTATGGAGAAAATTAATAATGTAGTTTTTATATGCAATTGAGGTTGATTAGCTGAAGTAGACTGTTATAACTATACAATATTTTAGTTAATTCTAATTGTAATCACAAT